GTCCAGATAGACCACACTTCCCCGGCATGCCAAACAGAGCTCCAGGGGAGAAAACTGGAGTGGCACACTGGTTCCAGGGTCTGGGGAACATGTGCCTTGGTAGCTATTGCTGATGGCCCAGAGGAAGCCCACACGGTTTAAAAGGAGGACGCCAAGAGAGGTTTGGCATTCAGTGTCCAAGGGAACAAAGACGGTGCAGCAGAACTGGAAGAGGACACCACCACACTAGAGATTCAGCCAACTGAACCCTTTTGGGACACCAGCATACTGTGACCATGAGTGAACGACCATCCCAACCCATTGAGCATGATAAGTAACACTGGGTGGTGGGGTAGTGGTGGGTGGATCCACAAGTCGGAGGGAGTGTCCAGGGAAAAAGGCACTGATCCCACCAAGAACAGGGCATGTACTGACCCCAGAGACAGGGTTAGTCTCAAGGGACCGTTAGATAGTTCAAGAAAATGAGGGATTTACCTGGATGGACTGAATAAACTCACCAGATTCGAGCCAGCTAGAGGGAGCTGAGCCAGACATTTGAACCTAGAGCCCAAGGTTTTTTCTTCCAAAAAATGTAATACAAACAAGGGAGCAAGAGCCCGTTTTTTTGTTTTTGTTTTTTATTAGCACACCCAGGCAAGGAAGACATAGCAGAAGAAAGTTAGATCCTCTGTGCATCTGAGTTAATTAGGTTATAGGATATATGCCTGGGATCTACAGAGCTGCCTAGCTGAGGATCTTGGAGACCGGCAGGGTGAGATTTCACCACCCAAGATCTGCCAACCCCAGGGAGAAGGAAGGTGACCCCAGACTAGACTGGAACATCAAAGAGAGAGACCTGTCTAGAGGGGATGGCTATCAACCTGTTATAGAGTCAGTAACCAAACCAGGCTGGGAAGAAGCTGAGATTCAGTGACTCACTCTCATTGTCAGCAGACAAGTATGACTTGTCACCTGAGAGGAAAGGGGCAGGGTGTAGGGGTGGTGGAGCCTGGAAGACCAACCCTCCTTAGTCCGACCAACACTCTAGACATCATCCATCCTCCCGAAGTATAGCATAACATCAAGACGTGGCAGGAGAGAGGGAATGAAGATGAGGCAGAGGTCCTGGTGATCGTAACGGGATAAAGGGGAGGCGAGTGGACCCACATGCTCACAAGCCCATTTAAAGCTCTCTGGAGCTTTAGGACTGTCAATGTAGGGACCTGGTTCTTTGCAACTCCTTATGTAGAAATTTTTATTTATTCTAGACTAAATGTGTCTACACAGTTATTGATACAACTTTAGCAGTAAGCTTATCCACTTATAAGCATTTCAAGTGCCCTTACTGCCCTTTCCCCCAACAAAGATTGGGTACTAGAATTTCCTATTTCAGTAAGAATTGGACACAGTGTGATCTTAACCTATTTCTGGTCATTCCTTTGTGTATTCATTCACATGCCTGCTTTGCCTACCCACTTTCAGATGGTGTTGGTCTCTGGGATCATGGGTATGACTCAGTATGGGAGGAGGTACTTTGATATATGAGTGGGAAAGGTGATGCTTATCTGGAAATAAGAAAGAAGTTGTAAAAAATTCTCCAAAAATTCATTACCTTCTAGGTGGGGTTTGTTTATGGGGAAAACAAACTTTGGCGGCTTTTATCCTGTTTCTACATAACTAGTTACAGTGATATCTATGTCTATGTTAGTCACTTATTAAATGTAGTCAATCTTCCCTGATGCATTTTCTCCCATGACAGACCTTAGCCAATGGAAGAGTGATGTAAGTGACTGCCACGGGTGGGATCAAATAACAAATAACAATAACGCTGCCCCCACAATGGAGGTTATTTAGAGGGAGGCCTTAACCCCACAGTGAGGTGAGTGCTTAATTGTATGCAGTCTGTATGGTATCATTGTCTTTAATTCTAGCACTACTCCTAGGGCAAAAAACTAAGTATGTGCATAAGGATTTGCTTTATCATTTAAAATTACAGGTAATTAAGTATCTAAATAGCCACTCATTTCTTTCCCATTATTTATAATAAATACCTCAATGATCTGGTTCTTCATGATTGCTTACTGTGACTGGTTAGAGTTGTTTATCAACCTTTAAAAAAAACAACAACCCCAAACTTATAAAATCACTATTATGTTAATTGTTTCAGAAGCACCTCTGCCTCCTACAGGCACATTTTAATCTTTCTTTTGTCTTTTTGGCCGCCTCTAACATCAGCCCCCTTCCGCGTGTTTCTTTTGCCAATATTTGAATTTCTGGGGGGGTTTTGAAAGTCAGGTTGGTTTGCCTGCTCTCTTGATTTGCAGTAGCCTGTACTCCTTGCAACTGTGCCGGGCTGCAGTTAAATAAGCCTGTAGGGTGCCCATGGGTTTGGGCAGAAAGGGCACGTGTCCCCCCTGCCAGGGCTGTCTCCGCCGCCGATGCCAACTTCGGCGTGTGCGCGCCAGCCCTGTCCTGGCTCCTGCAGGTGCCCCCTGGACTCGGGAGGCACCGGTTGCCCATGGATTAAACCTGCAAGGCCCGCGTGGGCACCTAGGTGTCTCCATGTCCACTGCCCCACCACTCCCTGAAAGCTGGAGGGCCTAAATGCAATGTCCCAGAGGTACGTTTTAGGGCCGGCACACCGCTCACCTCCCGCTTGATTTCGACTGTTCTCTCCGTGTTGAGCGAAGGCTCTTCCCCTGCGCTCGCACTCGGCAGGACCGGGCAAAGGGAGCTCGGAAAAATGGGGGGACGGGACGCGCCCTTTCGGCGGGTGCGGGTTTCGCCGCGGGAAGGCGCGTGTGGAGGAGAAGGGCTGAGCGTGCACGTGTACACCCCCCCCCTCAGCGCCGCGCTATTGTCCGCCCGCCCGCCTGCGGCGGCTCCCGGCTC